TTTGGTAGGATGGCCATTTTAATAATGTTTATTCTTCCAATCCATGAGCAGGGGATGTCTTTCCATTTCTTTGTGTCTTCTTCTATTTCTTTTAACAGTGTTTTATAGTTTTCTTTGTATAGGTCCTTTACCTCTTTTGTTAGATTTATTCCCAAATATTTGATTTTTTTTGTTTTGATAATAAAAGGGATTTTTTTTTATTTCTTCTTCTTCAGATTTATTGTTTGTGTATAGGAAGGCTACTGACTTTTGCGTGTTCATTTTGTATCCTGCCACTTTACTGAACTGATTGATGAGTTGAATTAGTTTTTCTGTGGAGTTTTTGGGGTTCTCTATGTATATTATCATATCATCTGCAAATAGTGATAGTTTGACTTCTTCTTTTCCTATTTGGATTCCTTTTATGTCTTTCTCTTGTCTTATTGCTCTGGCTAGGACTTCCAGTATTATATTGAAAAGCAGTGGTGAGAGTGGACATCCTTGTCTTGTTCCAGATCTGAATGGAAATGCTTTCAGCTTTTCACCATTGAGAATGATACTGGCTGTTGGCTTGTCATAGATGGCCTTTATGATGTTGAGGTATGTTCCTTGTATCCCAAGAATTTCAAGGGCTTTTATCATGAATGCGTGTTGCACTTTGTCGAAAGCTTTCTCAGCATCTATTGATATTATCATATGGTTTTTATATTTCTTTTTGTTGATGTGTTGGATAACGTTGATTGATTTTTGGATGTTAAACCATCCTTGTGTCCCTGGAATGAATCCAACTTGGTCGTGGTAAATTATCTTATGGATACATTGTTGGATTCTGATAGCTAAAATTTTATTGAGGAATTTTGCATCAGGGAGATTGGCCTGTAGTTTTCCTTTTTTTGTGTTGTCCTTGTTTGGCTTTGGTATTAGTGTAATGTTGGCTTCATAGAACGTGTTTGGTATTGTCCCTTCCTTCTCAATTTTTTGGAAGAGTTTGTGAAGGATAGGCACTAATTCGTCTCTGAATGTTTGGTAGAATTCATTTGTAAATCCATCAGGTCCTGGGCTTTTGTTTTTGGGGAGGTTTTTGATTACCATTTCAATTTCGTTGCTTGTAATTGGTCTGTTTAGGTGTTCTATTTCTTCTTTATCTAGCTTTGGGTGATTGTAGAGTTGTAGGAATTTGTCCAGCTCCTCTAGATTGTTGAACTTGTTTCCATATAACTGTTCATAGTAGTTAAAAATATGGAACGCTCCACGAATTTGCGTGTCATCCTTGCGCAGGGGCCATGTTAATCTTCTCTGTATTGTTCCAATTTTTAGTATATGTGCTGCCGAAGCGAGCACTGCATTAATCTGTATTATTGCTTGTTTCTCCTGATACCTTTACTCAGTGAAAGTCCTTTCCTGTGTTAAGAAGCTGAGTGAGAAAAGAAAAATGCCACTAGAGGCAGTGACTGGAGAAGGCAGATCAAGGCCCAAATCTTTCATTATTAAAGTCAAAACTATCAGAAATGCTCCCACATAATTTGTGGCTTAATAGATCAACATGGTAGTTATTGAACAATGTTACTCATGGAAATAGTATATGGATCAGAAAAAAACAACCTACCTCCCTTTATTTCTTTAATTCTGTCCATACAATTTCTTACTTATTTTCTAATTTAAATATTTCCCCTGTTCCTTATATTCTAATATAACCAAGAATTTTGGACTCATGGTTTCTCTACACTCATTTAACTTTTAAAATTTTAAAATGAAGACTGACAGGTAAAAATAATATATAAGAAATATGCATGACTCAATTTAATGAATGAATAAATTTAATAATTTATAAGAACTATGTAATATAAAGTGAATATTAAAAACCTATTTTCTTGGACCTTTTGGGAAATTAGTTCAAACTTTTATGCATATTGACTTCTTTACTGTAAAGTTTACAGTAACCTAGTTGTATTTTACTATAATTATGCTTTTTTTCTATTTATCTATTATCTCCAGCATTTCTCTCTCTCTCTCTCTTACACACATGTAGAAAGCACACACATTTGCGTACTCATTTAATCATCTTGGATTTAGATGTTGTTTTCTACCTTATTCTTTCACTTAATGTCATTTGGGATTTTGTTTTTCTTTGATACTGACTAGGCTTGGTGGAAATAAAAACAGTGAAATATGAGTGATATTTTAATGGAAGCTTAAAAGACAAAAATGTTAAACTAGAAAAAAAGCTAGAAGAAACGTTATAAGAAGCACTAAAAGTATTTTGGTATTTGAGTGCAAGATGTGTGGGTGTCTTAAAGACAAGAAAATGCTTTGGGGGAAATTTCTTTTAATCAACCAATTAACAACCACTTTGTTCTCTACTTAAAATAGAAACTTAAAAACAAGTTTAAAAAAAATAGGTGTTACACTCGTACTCTGACAATAAGACTCTTATATTTTTACTTGCTATAGATACCATGATAAAAATTTCAAAGCTGTATAGTTTGCTAGATTTTCTAGAACCTTTAATTATGATAAACCTGGAAATTTATTTAATAATGCCCCTAGAACTAATATTGCTAATTGTTGCTTTTCATTGAAGTTTTGTCCCAGACTTGTAGGGCTAAATGTCTATCACCTCTTTTTTCTGTTAATGTTGAAGAAGAATGATATACATATGTGTGTGCAACTTTTTAAAATTAAATTATTTATTTCCTTACATTGTTGCTAATTTTTGCACAGGATTTGATTTCTCCCCTCAGGTATAGTCCCTAAAGTCTCCCACCACCATAGCATCTGTGATCCATCACCACAGTCCCTGTGCTCTCTCCTCCTCTCTTGTGAGCCCTCTCCCTCCTCCCTGCAGCATGCTTCAGGTCTATGGTCAGCTTGCAAGTTTTGTGCAACTTTTTTCAAGAGCTAATCTTTAGAGTCATTTTTATTTTTTGTATTTATTTCTAATACATTTTTTATTGAGGTAGTGCTGGTTTACATTGTTTTTTGTATTTTAGAAGTGTAGGGTATCCTCTTTGGATGTTGTTGCCACAGCGTACCCACCATCAAAACACCCAAAGTCCGCACCACAGGGCAACTTTGATCCTCTTAAAGGACTATTCAAACACATTCAATATTTTTATCATTCAACATTCTAAACCCTATCCATGTTTCTCTCTTAATTTCTCTTATTTAAAGAGAAGTATCTCTTTGGGCAATTTAAAGGAAACAAAAGAAAGAAGTAGAAATCTGGTATTATTCAAATCAAGTAACCCAAATTGTATGCATTTCTATTAACTATAATCAGTTAAGCAATCTGGATAGTCTTAAGTTGCTTATAAAAATATAGTTTGCTTAGTATATTTGATGTTTCTCTAATTTTACATATAATATATGTATATATATATACATGTGCATATAATATTTAATGATACACCTTCATTCTATAAGAAGAATGGCAGGTAGAATATGAATATTTCCCTTTACATTATTCCTGTGATTTTGAAAATAATGTTGTTAATTTCCTAATCTCATGAGATTCTGAGATGACCAAGCTGGATTTCAGGTTTGTGTTGATCTGTCCATAAAATGCAAATTTATCATTTCAGTTCTCTATCCTTTTACTGACACAGTGTGGGAGTAAATGAGATAGACTTATAAGTGGAAACTTGTGGGAATATTGATTGTTATATGCTCACTGGTTCTGTTTTTTTCTGACACAGTCTCTGAGGTCAGTCACACATCAAGGTCCTCCTCATCTCAGAGCAGAGGGCAAGGCCAGCAGAGTCAGCACATCCTCACCGTGTTCCTGTCCTAGCATGTCCTGCAACTGATGAAACCCCACAGCCAGCACACAGGTATGGTCAGCCAGTGTGGGTGTGTGACCCCAGCCCTCCTGTCAGGCTGCTGGGCAGGGAGGCAGCAAGTAGAATGTGCAGGGAGGCTGTGCAGAAAGTTGGTAGAATTTTGGAATTTTGCTGAAAAGAATTTACTCATGGATCTTGTTAGTTTTTATTAAATATTCACTTTATTCTATAGGTAAACTAAGAATGGATCAAAATGAGAGTGGGTCAAAATATTTACTATGCAGAAACTGGTAATTTTCATCCTTAAATGTTTTAGAGAATACCAGCATCGTATAGTGAAATGTAATAGCAAAGTTTTAATATTTTGATAATACAATTATTTATCAAAACAAATCCAGTTGTATATTTCCAAATTTGTTTGCTTGTAATTTAGGCATGTAAATGTTCAATTTAAGAAAACTAACAACCAGTCAGCTAGGACAATACATGGCTCTAAAACAAGATCTATCTTAAAATCTAGCATTGTAGTGGAGAGAATGTTTATTGAAAAACAAATGGAATGTTTACATTTCATCATTTTTAATGGTTGTTAAAATCACTTTCCATCAATTTAAAAGTATGTCTGAGCTATATATATTTAAATTGCATATTTGTATACATTTCTTTTAATATTTTTCTATGTACATATAATGTACATATATTTATTTATATATGAAAGGCCCAGATAAAGTTAGTTATCTTATTTAGATGATCATGCCTTTATCCCCTTAGGTGTCTATATATATGAGGATGAATGTTTCCGTTTTTAAATGTTATTAATTATGCCTTATGAAACATTGCAGAAAACTCTTGCTGTGCTTTTTGCTAGAAACCCTCAGATATGAGTGAGGAGGGAGCGACATATGTGGATCCCAAATTGATAAAGTTGAGGAAACGAAATGACATAAATCACCCAGCTCAAAAAAGGAGAGGTAGTTTTGTTTGTTTATTAATACTGCTTTCTGAAAATATAATCAAGTCAGAAACGATGACAATTGTGTCTAAATGTATCTGATACTTTATATCTGATTCTTTATATTGAAGGTTATATTTAAATGTAATATTTGATGAGACTTGTAATCATAGGAAACAGTGATATTAATTTGAAACTTCAGAAAAAATATCCATTTTGTTTTAATCTGAGCATTGTGCTCTGTTCAGTGCTTACTTTTTTTTTTCTTTTGATTTTGTACAGAATTTCCATGGCATATAGTTGCAATATGTCTGGGTATTTTACTCCTGCTGGCAACCACAGGATTAGGATACATGTGTGAGTATCAAGAATATACACTTCCTTTGGGAACAATGAGCCAGAATGAATAATGAGATACTAAAACTGCTAAGCTTCTTCTGAAACTTTGGAAAGTAGAGTCCTATAGATTTAAATGTTAGTCACAAAGATGTGGCAGTAATATTGACAATGATGATGATTTTATTAATTTGCTGTTAGTATTTTTTTTTTGCCATACAAAATGGTGTAGTAGCTCTAAAGTATAAAAAGTTTGCTAATATGTGCAGTATGGTTTATATATATATGTATAGTAGAACTATTTTTTATGTAGGTATGTTTTCATATCAATAAAATTGATGGAATCTTCATTTGAAAGTTATGTTCTTTATCATATATACTATAAAATGCTTAATCTCAAAGGAAAATAAACTTGATTTATTTTCTATGTGTTTAAGTTTTAAACATCAGATTTAATATATTTTTATCAATGTAAAACCTTTTACAAACAACTCTTGCTTTTAATCTCTTTTTTTCCCTAATGACTTAATTCTTTAGTTTGTTCATTCAACAAAAATTTTGGAGTATTTTCTATGGATCAGGCAGTATGTGTGGCACCAAAAAGACAGAAATAAAAAGTCAAATCTCAGTGATCTAATTGTAAAGAGAAACTATTTCTTTTAATGTAGTATTTTTTAAAATAAAATATTGTTAGTGCTATAAATTAAGTCATGAAGAAGTCAGAAGAGTAACATCACATTCTGTTCTGAGTTCAAAAAAGCATTCCTGTAGGAGACAGTGTTGATCTGATGTAAAGGACAAGTAGGAGGGAGTCAGGAGCCTCAGGGTAGAGAAGACTCATCCAATTAGAGAACAGCATGGAAAAGGGACAAAATTATGTTAGAAGAAAGATAGATTTTCGTCAAATGAAAGAAGTAGCTAGAAGTAGGTTTAGGTAAGTATGTAACTCCATAGAAGTCTTTTATATCATGTTAGGAGATATTACATTTTCTCTAAACAAAATAAAATATTGTATGTTTTATGAGTGAACACCATATTTCACACAAAGAGAGGGATTTTGGAAAGGTTGGTCTGATAGGCTGGAAAGTGGTGGGGGGATAAGATAGGGACTACTTTAGGGAGTCAGGGTGTCTGAAAATGGCTATTGTGTTAGTGTCATGAAAAAAATAGTGGAGGGTAAGGAACATGTATGCAAAATAGTTAAGATACTCTTTCGATTGAAAGTGTGAGGAGAGCAGGGAATCAATTATGTCACTTGGTATAAAGTATACACACCTGGGTGAATGTATTTCATGAATTTATGGAAAACAGAAGAAAAACATTAGCCTATGGTTTCCTTGTTTTGTGTGCTTTGTATGTGAGCAATAATAGGAAAGATTGAGGTGCTTGTGGCCTGTCAGTGGAGATTACCAGAGAAAATAAGACAGATCTGTATCTCGAGAGTGAGTTTTGAAAATACACATAGACCCTCAACATTTGCTGATGTGATTAAATGTCTGTGGATCAAGAGAGATGCCTAGATTGGAGAGATGATTGTGGATTCATTCATTAATAGAACAAGTATTTGAAAAGGATGTAGAGAAAAGCAGAAGTCAGATCTCCCTGAAAAACAGGGAGAGGAGATGTTAGAAAAAGGTTCTTCTTAGAGTAAATCAACACTTAGACATGTAGATGATGAGACAATATTTGAAAAAATGTGATGTAATGATGAGACAAGTAGGAGAGGATCTAGTAGGTATGGCATTGGTGAGAGTAGGTTAGAGATAGTGAGGGTTCCAATATTACAGGCAGATGAAGTGATACAGTAGTCAACAGTGCACATGGAAGAGTTTTTACAACAAGTACTATTTTTCCAAGATTTTGAATTTTTTTTGTACGGTTAAAAATATCCACCAGAGTTCTTTTCCCCCCTTATAGTGGCTGAATCCATGGTAAACTTATACTAAAATTAGAATCAAGTTCCTTTGGTTAGCTCTGAATACAAATACTAAAGAACATACTTAATACTGTTTCCCAAGCTTTGAAATCTTTACTTGATGAATGGATGGCTTAGAGAACAGTTAATATTTTTCTTGCAGTTTATATAATGTTCATTACTGTTTTTACATACTTTAAAAATGTACAGCTAGTTATTGTTTTATTTAAAATGTCTACTTTTCATCTTGTCACTTAATATTTTAGTCTATTTAGCAAACATCATATACTTTGCTATATGGAATTAGAGTAAATTATTATAAAGTGATCTATTGAAGACATTTATAATGTTATGATTATATGTATTGAAGTTTTTAAGGGTTCTTCTGAGTGCAAAATGCAAGGCAAGAAACACAGATATGAGAATAATGCTTCATCACCAGCAGCTGAAGATCACTCAGTTGTACCACCTAGTAGGGGTATGTACTGATCACTTAAACTGATAGTTTGCTGATTTTTCTTTTTTGGAATCACTCCCTTCTGTCCCATTTCAATATGTCACTTAAAATATTACTTTAAACTTTGTCAGGACCTTTTAATTATTCTTATCTTTCTTGTAAATTTACTTTTTTATGGTAGCTAATTGAAGGCTTCACTTTCACAAGTAAGTAGCCTCTAGTACATTGTTTTATTGATTTGATTCTTTGAGTAATTTATGCTTGTGGATGTATGATCCCAGGTACAGATCCCTGGAATCAGTATCATTCACATATTTTCACTTGGATTGAATTTTCCCTTGAGGGAGAAGCACTCCGTATCACTGCAGTTTATTTGTACTTGAGAAGTCAAGATTTCCCAGTGTGGTATTAACAATAGCTTTGGGTCTCTCAGATACCATCTTGGGCTCCACATTATTCTTACCTACAGAATTTGGAGATGAAATATCCTTAAACATAGAGATTTTAGAATACAAGGAAATCACCTATTCTCTGTTTCTTCAGACTGTAGTAAGCAATGAAATACATACAAATACAGTCTCTAACTGGTCTTGGTGATGGTGGCTTTTGTTTTCAAGAGAAAATCTGTGATGGATGTTTTGGAAAATGGAGCTGCTGTGGGAAAAACTGCTACTATTTTTCCAAAGATGTGAAAACTTGGAAAGAGAGTAAGAAGTCATGTGAAGGACGTGCTTCTACTCTCATTAAGATCGATGATGAAGAAGAGCAGGTATGATTATGTTTATTTTATTTGGTCGAAGAGCTTTATGGAAAATTCTGTGTTTTGAGTTAGAACAATAGTTTAGAGTATTTCCTTCAATATTATTTGACTGATTTGTTGGCAACACTTGTGCTGGTGCAGATTTAGCTCCACAAAGGGAACCCAGGTGGACCAACACCTGGAAGAGACATTGTTTTAATTAGGAGAAATAGCTTTGCCGTGGATGTTCTGTAATAATATTCAGATTTTTCATTTTATGGGTTATCTTCATGTTTCATTGTACATCATACTCTTCAAGATTTATCATTTTGTGCTAAAGTAAACATTCAGTAGTGAAATTAGTATCCTTTATATTCATGTTGCTTGATAATGAAGCACACTTAAAAAATTACAGTGCATTGTTACTTGAAATAAAGAATAAAAAACAGAATAAAAAAGGAAAACTGCCTCAGCACTATGAGCAGTCTAAAAGAGAGTTTCTCATCATACTGAAGTGTATTCTTCCACCATCAATATTCCGGAGGGATCACGTTTCTTGATAAAAATGAGTCAACCACCTTCAAGATGGAAAACATGGATGAAAAATAAAGAGAAAGAATACAGATGGAATAATTCCTCAAAAGTAAATTTTGTCTTACTCATTTACCAAAATGACAGAGGAAGCTTCTGTTTTCTAGAGGAGAAAATCTAGATCTTTTTGTTTTAAGTTCTCAGGTTTGGGAATATAAGGTGAATCTAACATACTCTGTAGTTTGTCTCATGTTTAAAGATTCTATTTATGCACTGAATTCCATTCATAATATTTAATCCTACCAATCTTGTTTCAGTTTGTGTGTTAAGAGGAGGTAAAAAGTATCTCTGGTTTCTTTTAATCTTTATTTGCATTTTCTTGATTTCTAGTGAGCTTGGCACTTTTCTAGATTTGCTAACCATATATTTTATTTCATGTGAAATATCCAGTACTGATTTTTTTCCCTTTAGGCCTACTGGCTAACTTTGTTTTCTTATTGATTTAAAAATTACTTCATTTTTTAAACAAAATTACAGCAGATATTTTCAGATTTGAGCTCTTTTTAATCTTTAAGTCATATTCTAATGGTAGAAATTCTAAGTTTAGGGCAGTTATATTTACGTATCAATTTTATGCAGAGATTTTTATTTAAGGCTAACTTGTCCCTTTCTTGTCTCTCATCCTCTCAGAAAGACGGGAGTGATTCATCCATGAGACCTTTGTACTTCCATTTCTTTTCAGCAAAATAGAAAAGCTCTTGCCAGCTCTATTGAACATAGAGTTTTGAGAATAAATGTGCCTGTATTTTAGGATGGTTCTCTGTAGGTGGAGTGGTATCCCTGACATTATGAAGAATGATAATCTTCCCACAGAGATTCATTCAGAGAAAAATAAAATATGCTTCTTGGATTGGATTATATACAGAGGAAGCTAATCATACCTGGAAGTGGCTGGATGACTCAAAAATTTCTACTGTAGTGTAAGTTTTCATTTTATCGTTTTCCCTTCTGTCTTTTTCAGCTATTGATTCTTAAGTTATGAATCAAGAATAGTGAAAATCCTTTGGGCCTTAGGGAACATCTTTAATTTCATTTGGTGTCACTTTGCAGAGAGGCAACCAAATGCTGGTCTCAGAGCCCAACACACTCAGACTTGAGGAGCATTATTTCTTCCTGTGTTGTTTAATGGAGAGTCTTTTTAAGCACTGTAAATTAACATTTTGCTTTTGTAACTTCTGGTACCTTTTTATATGTAGATGAAAGAGGAAGAAATTTCACTATTTTAGAGGAGGTCGTCAGGGACCTTGAGATGATGATTTTGTACATAGCCTTGAATGAACAAGACATGTGGCTACTAAATGAGTAATATCCTAGTATGGAATCAGCTGCTAGAAAGGCCTGGAGGCGGGATTATATCTACCCGCTTGAGTAAAGAGCTAGAAGGTGTATGAGGTTGAAGCAAAGCGAGCAAGAGGGAGAGAAGTCAATCAGAGAATTAAAACATGGAGAGCTTGTGGGACATAGGAGGTTACCTTAAGAATGTAGGTTTCTCCATAAGTATAATGAGAAAATATGAGTGTATTTTGAGCAGGGATTTTGGGTCCAGAAATTGTAGCAATGTTGTTGCCATGAGCACTGGATGGGGAATTTCTGGATTTTGGCTTTAGAATATGTTTGATTAATCTATTCAATATTTGAATCTCTGTTGGGATGTCACATGGGTATTTTTAACATGATTATTAATTCAAATGGGAGGTATCTATGGGATGCAAATTTGTTTTATCCCAGTGGATAGATAGACAGTGTTCCTATTAATAGGCTGGTCATAATCATGAGGAAATTTAAGGCCTGAGCTGTTAGACACTCAAATGTTCAAGATGATGTGAAAGTAATGGGGAGGCAAGGATACATGGATGAGAAAAGTGGTTAAACAGACAAGTGGAGAACCATGAAAAAGCGTGGAGGGTGGTGAGATACCTAAAAAGCAGTACTTCTGAAATAAATAGCAAAATGGGAATTGTTGGTGACTTCTCACTGATAATTTTGTTTCTTGAAATCATTACTACTTGTGTTTGGTTCATTAACATTGAGGAACATTAAAATTAAATTTTCTCTTGTGTATTGTAGCTAATCCTAAAATTTAAATCCATGCTCCCTTGTCTTACTGTTCAATTTCACAAAATTTTGGGTTTTTTCTTTTAGTTTTTTGTGGTAATGTGATTATTTTATTTTATACTATTTATCTCCATATATTTCACATCACTGTTCATTTTTGTACAATATTTGCTTTCTCCTCTTAGGTGTAGTCCCTGTAAAATCACCACCACCAATTCAACCGTGAACCATCACGATGACCCTGTGTTCTTCCCTACCCTTTACAAAATTTTATTTTTTAACTCAAAAAATATTTTTGTTAAGTTTTTTTAGTTGAAGTACCATTGTGTTACGTTCTTGCTAGTTTTTGACAATATAGGATTTCCCTCTTAGCTGTAGTCTGCAAGTATAACATCACCGTTCTTCCCCTTTTAGTTTGGAGAGCTTTGGTACTTTCTTTTGCCTGATTGATTGTTTTTCAGTACTATGTGGAGTGGCAGCTGTGAGTGTGCACATTCTTTGTAACGGAGTGTAGTGGAAACAGTTTGTTTTCACCATGAAGAATGATGCGAGCTGTGGGTTTGTCATATATGACTTATATAATGTTAATATTTGTTTCAGTTTTTCTGTTTTTTCAGGGTTTTCATCATAAAGGAATGTTGTATCTTATCAAATGTTTTCTTGGCATCTATTCATATGATCATATGGTTTTTATTTTTTTAGGATGTGGTGAATGATGCTGATTGATTTTCATATATTGAATCATCCTTGTTTCCTTGGTCTAAGCTTGTGATATCATCTGGTCCTGGACGTTTGTTTCTGGACAGTTTGGTTACTGTTTCAGTTTCCTTGCTTGTGATTGGTTTATTTACATTTTAATTTCTTCCCTATTCAGACTTTTATGGTTGTACAATTTTAAGAATTTATTCATCTTATTTGGGCTTTTGAGCTTTTTGCATCTAAATGTTCATAGTAATCTCTTGCTATTGCCTGGATTTCTGCAGTGTTTGTTGTAACTTCTCTTTCATTTTCATCTTATTTATTTAAGTTTTGTCCTTATTTTTCCCTGTGGACCTGGCTGGCGGTTAGTCTATTTTATGTACTTTGTCAAAGAACTGGCTTTTGGTTATCAGGACTTCAATCTTTTGGACTATCTTTTGGATTTCTCTTTCCTTTATTTCTGCTCCTGTTTTTGTTATTTCCTCTTTCTTCTGACTTTTTGGCTTTTTGTTCCTTTTTTCTAATTCCGCAAGAAGAGAGATTAAGTTGTTTCTTTTGATTCTTTCTTGATGTGGGCCGATATTGCTGTATACTTACCTTGTAGAACTGCTTTTGCTGTGTCTTAAAAGTTCTGGAAGTTTGTATCCTCATTATCATTGTCTCATTGTGGTTTTTGATTTCTTCATTGATCCAGTGTCTTTCAGTAGTGTGTTGTTCAGTCCATGTACTGGAGAATTTCCTTGCTTTCATTAAGGTATCTATTTTGACACCTTTATGGTTGGAGAAGATACTCGGTATGATTTCAGTCTTCATGAATTTATTCATACTTGTCTTGTGACCCATTGTATGCGTTATCCTGGAGATGACTAGTGTTTCACAAAATTTTATTTCTTTTTTTCTTTTTAAAGATTTAGTTATTTATTTATACTAGAACTGGAATAAAGGGCAGAGGTGTGGGGGGTGGGGAGTGGAAAGGATTTATCAGAGACAGAATGGGGAGCAGAACAGGTGATCTACTGAAATACACTGCTGAGGGGAGCAGTTGGCATTAGAGGAGAGGTCTGCTGTGCCACATGGGTAGCTCCCTGGCTGTCCTGTGATTGAATTCCTGCTGCAGAGGCTGCGGATAGCTTTACAATACTGTGCTTAACGCCTTGCGCCACCAGGGAGGACCCTCTCAGAGGTTTCTGATTAATTTTCCAGTTTGCATGTCTAATCCATGTAATCCTGGCATTATACCACCATTTCTACTTTTTTCTTATCTATAATTTTCTGGGGACTATATTCCTATTAGTTTAAAATATAGTAACACTTCATAAATACATAGCTAGGTATCTGTCACAGGATTTGTGTAGCCTCTGAAGTAATTGCACATATTTACTTTAAATTTGTGATAAACAAATTTGCCTTATAATTGACTTTCTAAAATAAATCTGCTCTCTGATGCAGGGATTTTCTACCACCCACACCTGATGCAAAATGTGGACTAATCAAGTTAACAAATATTGCTCCTGCCGTTTGTACTGTGGAGTTTCATTACATTTGTGAAAAGAAGTTGGACTTACTTGATAATTAAAAAAATAATTATATGTCAAAGTCATTATTTTCATTTTTTAATAACTTTTAAAACAAACTATGATATTCACTGAAGTTAGTCAACTATGCATACATTATAAAGGATTATGATCTCTTAAACATTCCAAAACAAGTTGAGACATAAAATTTCCTATATAGTAAAAGTATAAATCCACCAAATATGTTCATTTTTTTCTGAAATTTCAAGAATCTGTAAATCAGAGAACATGAAATAAATTCATTTTGACAAAGGTTTTTATTATTCTTATCATTTATTTGAATTTATTTGATCAGGTAATTAATACATTTACAATGTTCAATATTTAAGAAAATTCTCTTTACCATTCTTATGCTCTCTTGAGCCATTTCTCTACTCAGAAGAAAATATATAACTAGTGTCCTAGATATTTTTACAGACATAATCTATAAAAGTATAACCTTTACACATTACACATTCAACCAAATGTTACTTAGAATAATCCATAGCCATGTTTCTTTAGATCTTATTTAAAAAGAGATTTTTTTCTTTCTAGCTTATTTCACTGGGCATGATCCCTTCCAGCTCCATTCATGTTGCTGCAAATTGCATGAGTATCTTTTTTGATTGCTGAGTAATATTCCATTACATGTATGTACCTCATCTTCTTGATCCAGTCATCTATTTTTGGGCATTTGGGTTGTTTCTATAGATTAGCTATTGTAAATAGTGCTGCTATAAACATAGGTGTGCAGGTGCCCTTTTGAATTAATGTTTCTGTGTTCTTTGGGTAAATACCTAAAAAAATACTGGATAGTCTCTCTCATAGCAGGAATTTAGGAAACTTTAATAAGACACCAGGTAAAAGACTAATATAATAAAGTAAAAATCAAAATCAACAAGCAACTATAAACCAGAGACATACTTTGGGGTGGGAGGGAGGGGGTATTAGGGTCAAAAATAGGGGGGTGAGAATTATATGGGACTGTAACCAAGATGAAAATGCATACATTGCAAAAATGAAAAATGATGTAAAAAATAAATAAAATTTAAAAATAATTAGAAGAGATCTTGCAGATTGTTTCACATCAGTACACAGGGAGCTGCTTCCCCTCTGTAAGCAGCTACAAGTATTACACCAAATGGATGCGCTAACCACTATTTCACAGCTTAATTTCAAAGGATATTTAGGTTTCTCTCAGAATTTTGTGATTAGAAAGATACTGGATTGAATAGCACTTAAGACAATATCATTATAGAGTAAATATAAGTGGTATAATTTCTCTCTCAAATGAATGTACATTGAATTTTTTGATACCTATTTAATAATTCAATGAGGCTGTACCCTGTTCTGTAGATGCAACACTCGAGTTCTTGCTCCTCCCTCTGTTAACTCCACAGTGTGTTACCAATGTTTGTGACTTGAGCAGTAAGATTTTCACCAATAAAATGAGGTGTCATATCATTTAGAGTTG